TCTTTTCACGAGTCAGGTGAGTTAATGCACCCAAAGGTTGAATTAATGGTAAAGAGAAAGAAAGGCTTTACAGCTCACTGTTGAGGATGCACACTCAGTAACATTTACAACTCCTAAAGACTCCTAAAACTGTCTTGGATAAGGCCAAATATGCACTGTCATCCTGCTCAAACAAGAATGTTTCTCCTAAATGCAGCTCACAAGAAGTCAACACTTAGGAGATGCAAGGTTTTCATCTGACATCATCAACATACACAAATTTAGAAACCAAGCTATCATCTTAAGGTTCCTCGAAGACTTTGGCGTTTCATATATCAAGGCTACTTTTTTTCCCAGTCCCACACTGAGCCCTCCTCTGATGGGTTTTTTAAAGTTACGTTTACAGTACAAGCCAATGTTGCAGCTTTTTGTGAAAATAACAGTCTAAACTGTTTCTCTAATTGCAAAGAACATTACCAGAACAAATAAATGCCTGCCATGCATGAGTAGAAGTATATGAATGAAACAGAGATCATACAAATTGAACAAGCAAGCTATTATGTGCTAATTTGTGATCTTTAGAGAACCTGGTAGGCAGATTCCACTTCCTATTTTCAGTCTTTAGGCTAAGTTAGGCCAACAGGGTGCTCACCGTAGCTTAATATTTACACACATAAGAGAGGTATCAGTCTTTTCATCAAACTCTCAACAGGAAAGTGAAAATGCAAATTTCCCAAATTGTCAAGTAATTCCAGTAAACTATCTGGTTTAACCTTGGTGTTTGCCCACATTTCCCAACATAGGGTTAGGGTTAGGGTCAATAAACACTTATCTTACATTTCTCTTGTTATGTGCTTTCTGAAAAATTCTCATCTAATCACCTGCAGTTGTTCTTGCTTACCTTTTCATCCAAACAGCTGTTTGTGTTTTTCAAATTCTGTACAGAAGGGACATAAAAGTCTTTGTCATGACTGTTTAGACTGAGGTCACATTTCCATATCTAAAATATGTACCTGACTAAAGATCAAAGTGGCCCAGGCCACATCTGAAAATGTCAAATTGGTTATCTTTCTAATCACAATGGAAGAATTTGAGTCACTGGAAAAATCAGACCAGGGACTGTCTCACCTACAGAGTGAATAAAAGCATATTTGCATTAATTTAATGCTCAATATAGTCAAGGAGACTTAAGAGGACAATATAAGTTCTTGAATGACGTGTCCGAGGGAGTCATTCAGGAGTTACTGTCCAGCAGTTCTCCACTGCTTGGTCTGAACTTGAAGCTGAATTACACCCACACACGTCCCATAAAGTACTGAAATAAGTCTAGAAACTGGTAACAATTGCTATTACAGAAGCCTCCTTCCTAGTGAAGCAACCCCACATCTCAATTCACACAAAAGTGTGCACACACACACTCCAGCTTGGCCTTTTTGTTGTGGTTTCAATGGGTGATCACTTGCCAGGGCCTCAGGAGACTCAACTCAGGACACGTCTGTTTTCTATATGTTTATAGTAGAGCAGTCAAAGTGAATGAACATTACTGCTGTCAAAGCCCACTTGTCTATTTTCTGGAAAGCGTTACTAGAAGGATATAATTCCTTTATATAGCATAAAGAATACAGAATAAATATACACATAAAAAAACATGTGATAGACTGACGACCTGTCCAGGGTGTGTCCCACCTTCCTCCCAATGTCAGATGACATTGGGTTCATTGCCGCCACCCCCTACCCTCTTCAAGATAGACGGTATAGATAATGGATGAATGGATGGATAAAAACATATCATTTTAGCTGCAACCAACTGTAGCCATCAGCCCATGACAGTCCTCACAGCATGACTGTAACAGAGGGAGTCATGATGTGAATGACAAGTGCCTGAGGATGGTCTTATAATATGCACCATCACTGCAACACCCTCACAAAACAAACAGTTGAAACATATATTCAAAGTCAACTTTCAAACCAACATTGATGAGAATATGAGAAGTTAGAAAACAGTGGATGAACATCTACAGTTCCATGACAACTGAGCAAACTCTGTCTGTAACACTCGTGATATAACGGAAAGCACAGAATAATACTGTATATTGTTAAGATATTTAGTAACTTTTCATTCACTGCAGGCAGCTCTGGAAAAAGTTAATTCAAAGATTATTTTAAACCTCAAGAATCCAGAATTAAATCATGATATTCATTCATTCCTTTCGTTAGACCGCTGAATGTTCTTATTTAATTGCCAGTTTGGCAATTTTGTGTTGCATTTATGTCAAGTAGTAAATATAAATGATTCCTTAGAATGCCATTTTCTCCACCTTTCAGCAATTCATTTCAGTTCCGCCGTGCTAAATGGTTTTAAACGTATCATTCACTTGGTGATTAAGCCTATAACAGTTCTTAGTTCGAGTTCGAGGCTATAGACGCTAGTAAACGTGTCTTGATTAAACGTTCGTGTCAAAACGACAAACTTTTGATTGCAGAGTAAGGATCCATGCCTTTTGAAACACATGGTTTAGTTTTCTGTAACCGTATTCATGTCTGTTAAGCCTATAATAATACAGGGATAAAGTCTCTACGTTACTACTGTACCTGAAGAATTCCAGGTTGTTTATATTTGTATAAGACCTCATGAAGTTATTTCCCATATAGCCTGAATGCATCACCAGTAGGTAGCGGTGACGCACACGCTACTGCAAGCCAGAGGTCCTCCGCAGCGCACTGATTGGTCCAAATTAAGGGTGTGTTCACAGCGTGGGCAGTTTCGTTGGTGGTATGGACACACTGGAAAGGCACCAAACCCATCTCCAGACGTGCAGCGTGGTGCCCTGTTCCCAACCCAAGTGGATTTAGGAAATTCTGCTGCCTTGCAATTTCCGCTTTACGAACGTCAAGCGTAAGCCAATTAGTAGAAAACAACCTTTTTGCTGAGGAAAACCAAGTCCCTAGTGAAGCCATATTAAAAGTGGATTACCACCATACTGAATATGACATCAAAACGTACGTTAGAACAATAAAAAAAACTCAAATTGGACAAGATCATCATAAATTTTAAGGCTATCACTAAGTCAACCATAAGAATATAATGGGAACGTTGAAATGTTGAGGTTTTCTATGCTACACCATGTCCTGGCCAAAATAACTCTCATTTCTCAGCTGTGGCGACTTTTCCCAAATTCACTCCACTGACTAAAAACCTCAATTAAAACGATAGATACTGCAGTCTCGGTAATTATCTCTATTTAGAGCTGTAAGTGATCGTCATTTTGGTTAGGTTAGAGTCTGAGTCCAATTCCTGCTCTGGGCTAATTTCATTGATGGTCTAAATATAGCCTGGGTTTCAAAGTTTTCCAGCACGCAGAGCCAGGGCATCAGATGAAAAGGATTTTATAAGAATAAATGAAATGTTATGATAAACAGATTTCCAAAGAAATAGATCTATAAAATTCAGATGCCTGCTTGTCTGCATATTCTTCTGCCTGTCTTTCACACACACGCAGCCACCAATAATTTTGTCATGTTCATGGGCGCCTGAGCAGCAGTGTATTTTTCTCAGGGTCTGGGTATTAGCTGGGCCCTTACCCTCCACCCCTTCAGACACTAAACCACCTCCTTATTCCTCATTAGTCTGCCAACCAGACGCTTGCTTCCAACCTGAGCATTTCACCAGCAAGAATCCTTCTGGCTGGGGTTTTTGGGAGTTTATTTGAAATCTCTGTATCACCCTGAGTTTCCTCCAGGTGCTTCCACAACCCAGCCATGCAAGTGAAGTGGAAAACCACAATTGCTTGTAGTTATGAATGAGATTGTAGTTGTCTGTATATGTTAGATCGATGATTGCCTGGAGGTTTAGACAATTAGGTGGTGGGTTTATTATAGTGAGGATGCTGTGTTACTTAAGAAAATGAAGAAACAATTAATATCAGTTGCCCACCCTAGTCATTTCATTCCATTTGTACCATCTCCTGCCCACCAGCAGACCTCTGGCATGATGAGCGACACAGCAACGTGCCAGGCTGCAGTTCACACTAGAAGCCTCTACCTGCAAGAAATAACATCATGAGGTCACTGGAAACATTTAGAAGACAGAGACTGTATGTTCCTTCTCTGGTTGCAGTTATTCCACATGGCATCCTCAAGTGTTGCCCTTGAAAAAATGCTTCAACGTGTCCAAATGTGGAGCCCTACCAGTGTTAGTCCTCTATTCCTAGATCACTCCCTGTAACAGACCTCATTGTCACTGGCTATACTGGGCATTGTGTGACAGACGCCTTCGCTACCTCAAAAAACATTAAGTTAAAAGCAGTTTTCAGTTGTAAGTATACAGTTATTGTGGCAAAATCCTAATAATATTAAAGTTCTGCTATCCAGTTGTTTCTAAATCATTAGGCCTATCAGAATACACTATATGCTTCGTTTTCGTTGGTTCTGTTTCCTAACCTTTCACCCACTTTCTGTGAAATATACTACAGACATCTGGGAGGTTGTATTTAATTACTTTACATTGTTGATTTATAGGTTGTAGACCCACAAGCTAAGCCTATTTTATATACAGTACTTGGACATCATATGTTTCAGTTCTCAGTCTGTTGGCAAGCTTTGCATTTCTTGATCCTCCCACTGCTCTCCTACATAGCCTTGTAGTTTAAGTAAGTGCTCTGGTTTTATGGCAAAGACATGTTGATTTTTACTCTGGCATGTGTAAAAAACAAGCAGCAACTGTGAGATATCTTGCAATATATGCAAATCATATGAAGTGTTAAAAGATTATCACGATGCCTACAAATTATAGGCTGGCCTTTGCAAATGTGATTTGCGAAACGCTGCTTGATCACCCCAAAGCTGTCAGTGTCAACTCACTAGTGAATATTGCTATATAGCGCCAGTTTGAAAGCAAAAAGGAGACTTTCACAGGACACTCCCCCTAGACGCTGGACGTGGATGTCTGCGTCTCTGATTGGTTGTGAAAACCCGACCGACAACACCTGCTTAACTCCTTCATCCAAATTGACACCCGGGGCTCTGAGAAATATAGGCAGCATCCTTTCCAGCTCATGCGTTCAGTCCCACAGCTGGCTCAGAAGACACCAAGCCGCAGCTGCGCTGATCACTGATCCAGAGCGAACCCTCACGCACATCCACACACACACACACACACACACATACACACTCTCTCTCTCCCTCTCTCTCTCTCTCTCTCACACACACACACACACACAGCGGGATCTTTGCTGGGAATCGAAGCGCGCTGTCGGAGAGATGTTGGTCAAACTGGCCGTGGTGCTGCTGGTTTTGTCAGTGTTGGAGCAGGTGGGATCGGATAATATCGATATTCATGACAGTCCCCCGGAGAAGCCTTCGAGCCAGAAAGGACGCCTCTCCTTGCAGAATACAGGTACGAAATAAATGTCAACAAGGATAAGAATGTGGAGATTCTTGGTTGTTGCAATTGTTCACACATCCTACGTGAGGTTTGCCCGGACACGTGCTTCTGTGGTTACAAATTCAACTGTGCGGTGGTGATTTCTGCAGTCCGCTGTTTTAAACTTAAATCCCGGTGCTACTGTGCACACCAGTGGGCCGTTTCTATGCTCAGAAAGACGATATCTTGTAAATACTCTCAGTCTGAAATTCAATATGTTAGTAAACTATTAATAGAATGGCATAAGGCAATAGGCTAGGTAATGTATACGGCATCGCATCTAGGTGTGCGTGCGCGCTGGTGTGTGCAGGAGCTATAGGTAACAGTTTCAGTCTTTTATTTTTATTTTTTAATTGGGGTTTTGCATTTGTTGTGTAGGCTGTCTCGTTATATGAATGTTGGGTGATGTGTTCAGTAAGGTTAGTAATGATTGTGTGGTTGCCGGACAGTGCTGAAAGCAAGCTGGAGTTCATTTATTGAATAAATCCTTTGGGGAAATTGTGCTTACATACCCTAAACAGATCTGTGTGATTTACCCAATTAACACAAAGCCCTAATATCACTTCTGGCTGCTGCCTTTTCTCTGGAAAATGTCCTTAGTATTCGCCGACTTATCCCCATACACGGCATGACTTGAGCCACACCGTGAGAACTTGTGTCAAAATATCAGAGTAGAATTTTTTTTTTTTTTTAATTTTGCTTCCACGCTGAAAAACGGGACAAAACCAATTTCGGGTTTCACAGCAGAGAACCCCGGTAACGCCACTGTGTAATTCAATTCACGTTGCCGCCAAGCTCGTACGATCCAAGCACATTCCCGTGATGCCAAAACAAGCACTGCTTACAGCGGCTCACTTTTCCTGCACAATAAAGTTCAACTCGGTGCCTACAAACCCCGTAGCAGCTCTGTCTCTCCCGCCTTCTGCTGCCCTTCCCAACAGAGGCTCTTTGTTGACAAATGTGATTTCTAATATGTTCCCGTTTAATCCTCTGTTGATAGTGGCCAAGACAATGTCTTCTTTGCGCAATTGGTGCGCACTTCCGATTGAAAGAAATATGTTCTCACACCCATTAGCTATCACCTCCAAGACAAATCATGCCTGTAATTATTTTTTACTTAGGCCAACAGCTGGAGTTTTCATAACCAAACTGTTGGCTCCCTACATAACCTGCAATTTGCCATATTAACTTGAAAAAATAAAACACTCCTTGCGATGTCAAAAAGGATAGGCAGCAGTTTATGTGACAGGTTCCCAGCTGGTCGACAGTAGTTTGATGTTAAAAGAAAGAAATTCACTTTGTCTTGGTCATTTATTTCCTCTGTCCTCTGCTTTGTTCCTCTCCATTAATGGCTACAGTAAGAAGAAAGGGCACTGGTGATGTGCAGGAGTTGACACATAATTACATATTTCTCAAGGCTTTTTTTGCCTGTATGGCTGCTGTTGAACCCCCAGTGTAGCTAATGATGCACCTTTAATATTGTGATTTGAGTACGCAATCTCAACCTGTCTGTGAATCAAATAATGAGAGACTTGATGTACATTTAGGTGACAGACCGTAGAAATGACTGCATTTGTGTTTCCTCCACAAGTAGTCAAGGCTGTATCTGCAATGCACCATCCCCTCTCAGTGCTAGTCTGTGCAGATGGATTGTGGTGCAGAATGACACAGTAATATCTGTCATCAAGTGTTCCTCTGCAGGAACCCCTAAGCCTGGGAAATTAGTCTTCTTCTCCCCTACGCTGTACCTCTTTCTCTGTCAAGCAAAGTGCATCCGAAACAGACTGCAGGTCGTGAACACATGAAACGACCGCCTGTGTCTGTGGAAATAGCTATACGCTACAATGGCTTTGTCATTCATGCAACATTCAGAGCGAAAGTGGAGAGCTGTGCCTACAAGCCATATGGTCTTCATTGCCAACACGCCTGTAACAATCTGCTGCTGTCTCTGCTGTGAACAGATGATGCCCCTCCCTTAACCTGTTTTCTTTTTCCAGCTGAGATCCAGCACTGCCTGGTGAGTGCAGGGGATGTTGGCTGTGGTGTGTTTGAGTGCTTTGAGAATAACTCCTGTGAGATACGAGGGCTACAGGAAATCTGCCTGACGTTCCTGCACAACGCTGGCAAATTTGACTCTCAGGTATTAAGCTAGTCTTCCTGTCTGTTTGCAGAAATGGTCTAACCGGAGGCAACATTCCTTTTCCATTTTACTGGTCCGCTGTTCCACATTTGTCATCTGTGAACAGATTTTTTTTTTGCTTGTGCTGTAGTTTCTACATACCTCAATATGTATCAGCTTTTCTAGAATTACAGTGAAACAGACACTCATCAAATAATCTCTTTTTCTCTCTTGGGAAGGTCACTTCCTTCTCAGTGGACTGATACATGTACCGTTAGGCCCAAAGTGTCATGAGCCAGCTGGCTACAAGCCCAGTTAGCTCCCACTTTATACATAGCAGAGGCTGAAGCCGTGCCAAGCCAGGCCTGCCTGGGGACTCAATACATTATGTCTATAGGGCCACATACTAGGAATCTACATATAGACAACTCCAAAATATTTTGGGATAACACAATTTACAGCTATTTGTGCAGAAATGTATCTTCCCCTTCAGTATTTAACTCATTCTTATAATGTTTCTCTAATACAATCACACGTACACAGTTGAAACAGGTGTATGCCATCTCCAAAGTACCAAAACTGTTATGTGTAAGTGTTTCCTTTGGCTGATGTCTGAGCTCCTAACTGTCAACAACATCAATAGGGGGCTTTGTCTTGAGGGTTCACTTAACACACATGTCCCTGTGTGTACACAGGGGAAATCCTTCATCAAGGATGCTCTGAAATGTATGGCACACGGGCTACGGCACAAGTTCAGCTGTATCAGTAGGAAGTGTGTGTCCATTAAGGAGATGGTGTTCCAGCTCCAGAGAGAGTGTTATATCAAACACAACCTGTGCTCTGCTGCTAAGGAGAATGTGGCTGTTATGGTGGAGATGATCCATTTCCAAGATCTCTTCCCTAAAGGGTGAGTGCCTGGTCTGGACCGCATGTTTGAATGTCTCTAGGCCTGTCCCTTCTTTTTTTATCTCTGATTGTGTACCATTCTTGAACTCCTCTACTAGTTTGTACTGTTATTCCATGCATAATTGTACAGTCACATTTATTCCTGTCATTTGCATTGCATTGATGTATTGTGCTTCCAAACATTAAATCACAGGTTTCATGTGAGTAATCTGCCTCTCTCTGCCCAGTCCATATGTGGAGTTGGTGAACATACTCCTGAGCTGCGGAGAGGAGGTGAAGGAGGCGTTGACACGGAGTGTCCGCCTACAGTGTGAGCAGAACTGGGGTGCTCTGTGTGACAGCCTGAGTCTCTGCTCCTCCCTCGCCCCATCGCCCGCTGGCTCCGCTGTTGAGCAACACCGCCGCCTCTTGCCCTCCCACCCTGAACCGGAGCTTCCTCGCCTTCCACGACAAGGCGACAAGGACAAAGCCGGTAAGGCGGGCTTCAGTGCTCACCCACGTAATCGCAGTCAGGGACTGCGCCGCCAGGGTCCAGAAGCCAGAGTGGTGGCTGACCAGGAAGACCCCGAGGCCACCGACATCCGGAGGTGAAAGCACAAGAGACTATCTCAGCCTTTGCCCTTACACCATTTAAAAACCACACTTGCAGACTTGTGCACATCTCCACACAATAACACACAGAAACACCTCTATACACACACATACACACACACACACACACACACACACACACACACAAACACACAAATTCCCAGACAGACTGAGCAGAAGGAAACAGGCCCTGACCTTTCCTGTCCTTATTCCACCCTCTTCAGTCATTCCAGCAGTCCCACATGGTAAACCTGCAGGGTAATTGTGGTGTAGCCCGTACTGTTATACCAGACTGTAGGCCATTTTTTAAAACTGAGTAAAAACTGTTATCATGACTATTTCATCTTAGGACTATTTTGGGTCTAATATAACATTTCTCACATCATACTTAGTGTGAGATTTGATTATATTTGTATTATTTATTTTATTCTTTATGCAATGTTGAAATATCAAAATGTACATAGAAATATACTTATCTATATTTATATAAACATGTATAAATATAGTTACAATATGCAATACTGACATACTATATGGTGTGCTGTCTGTTGTTTTCTTCACAGTATTGCACCCATCACACATCGGTTTGTAGATATGTAACATACAACATTTGTTGTTGCAAAGTGGGAATGTATATTATAATTATAGATACTTGATGATTAAATATAAATTGTACAGGTTTCAAGTCCTGTTCTGGCACATATGAATTGTAGTGCATGATGGCCATAAAGCCAACAAACTTGTGCATTCTTAAAGTGAAAATCCACTCTAAAGAGGATGCAGATGTAAAACTATGAATATGGACAGTTATTTCACACTTGTATGTAGTGATAAGTCTGTCGTAAAGCTAGAAATACGACAGCACAGAGTGATCTCTGATGTCATCAGGGCAAAGTGACGGAGAGACTAACATAGCAGACAGTTATACGGACTCTTTTTGTTTCATAAGTATTAGTGCTACTCTGACGTGTCTCATTTGGATGCAAAAAGTGTCACATTCATTGCTAATAGAGCTTAACAAACTGTGTCTAAGTGACATTAACAATCATTGTTCTTGCTCACAAATAATAACTGAACTGTCAAAATGTTATACATTCTCCTGAGCTGGTTGTTCATCTAACCATCAGTTATCAGTGAACTGCAGGAAAGAGAGGATGCTCAGTTGAGTTTTGATGCTAAGTCCTTTCAGATGTGCAAACCACACACATCGAGGTGCCTAAACTTGTTATTGTCCACACTGACCGCTTAGCTGTGATTTAAGTGAATGGATGATACTGTGTCATGGGTAGATTTAATGTTGAGCTATTTTACAATGATGTTGAGCCACAGAAGTCTTAGATTTTGCACTTTGGATGATTGTAAGTTTGTGTTGGACTGCTGCAGGTTGACCAGGTTACCAGAGAAGTTGTCTTCAAAGCAGACCCTACTGCATATGATGTTTCAATTGAGCAAGCCTGATTTTCATTATAGTCTAGAGCACCAAGTCCTGTTCCCCACATGTTCCTGATGACCAGATTGAGCCACTTCTTTACAAGACCCACATTACCCATCACTGGTGTCCCAGTGGGCTGGAAAGAGGCTTCATAGAAACCCTTCGGATTTTTGGCCCCACCAAATTAGCCATTATTCCTCTCCGGTCCCTTACCTAGGTCAGGACAGACTTGAAGGCCTGTTATTCTACCCTTTAGAGCCGCAGGCAGCGCAGCAAGGACCCAGGAACTGGGTTAAGTCCACACACGGGGGCTCTGGCAGTAATTCCAAATGTTATATTTACTGAGGCCACCAGAGAATTCCTCTGGGCCACAGCCAAGCGCCAGCAACACAGCAGGCAGAGAGGAGTGGAGCAAGAAGGAGAGAGCCTTGTTTTTTAAATGTGATGATTCACTCAGTCTATACTTCTTCTAGTGCTCTTCTTGTCTTCCTCCTTTAGGTCACAAACACAGGTTTTTGACCATTTCAGGCCAGTCACATGTTTTAACTGTAGAAGTGAAGTTTGTGAGCACACCACATGCTGGGGACCTCTTGGTGCAAAAAGAAAATAAAACATGGTCAGATTCTGTGGCTCAGTTTTGGGGTTTTCACGTTGTTTTCCAGATGTATTTACAGTAAGGTAATGTTTTTCCTCCCAGTCATTTAGAGACTATTTTAAGCTGTAAGGGTTTGATTTATCAATAAGACCTTCAGGATTTTATTTTTTATTCTGTTGTGGAAGTTGGGACTCGTGTGACATCCCAGCACAAGACATAAGCTAATCCTATTGAGAATGTACTGTATGTGTGTAAAGTGACAATCTGTTCAGCTCTCTGTCATTAGGTTTGATATGGCTTTTTGTAAAAATGTAGTGGTCTGAATGGGTTTTCTTTGTGTATTCAGAGCAAAATAAAACTAACCATGTCTTTTGTATTGTTAGTGCTCCATCGCCACATGACATGTCCTCTGTTAAGCACAGTGACTTTGCTTTCACTATTGAAAATACAGAACATGGTCTAGAAGTTTGTAACTCACCTGTAAGACCCTGTAAGACATTGGTCATAATGATCCTAAAGATTTCTTCATACTCATGAACTCGTCATTAAAATATTTTTTGTCTGCATTTTGTAGACTGTCTTTCGCTGCTTTTTTATTTATTTTTAAGTAGCATAAAATCACGAGCACATACAATGTTGTGGCACAGAAAAAGATGCCAAATTCCCATAAGGGGTTAAACATTCACCTTCTTCTTCTAGTGCTCTTCTTGTCTTCCTCCTCTCAGCGGTTTAACAGAGAAGACCTTGATGTCTCAGGTATACACACAGGTTAAAAGACACCCTATTCTCATCTGACTTAACATCTTCTTTCTGACAGTGAGATACAGGCTGTGTTTAAAGTTTCAAGGCCTGGAAATATCGTCCCTACTGAAAGACTTAAACATTTACATCAGTAGCCCTGGACTGTATGCAGTGCTGGTACGGATTCAGGGTGTCCATTTTTATGAGCTGTCCCAACAGTGTACATCCATATTAAAGTTGGACTTCTAACAGTTTTTTTTTTTTTGAGTCAAGTTGAGTACACTGAGCTGCATTTACAATAGATATAAATGTAAGTTTAGGTCAAAAGTCAAAGTCAAAGTGTTTATTTGTCATATGCACAATTAGAAAATGTGTTTCCGTGTACAATGACATTCTTACTTTGCCGTCCACATGAATGCCACACAATACAGGTGAAATATTGAGTAGATGAGCCATAACACAAATCTAAGGCACTTTAAAGCAACAAGTCAAAGAAGCACAATAAAAATACAAGAACACAATATAATGCAGAGAGAATATATGCTACGTGGTAGCTGTGGTGTGCAAATATTCAACAGTGAGTTTGCAATTATGCATGTGCAAAATGAGTATGTAAACAGTACAAATGGAATTACATGAGGTAGATCCTGAGTCAGCTGTTTAGAAGTCTGATGGCAGTCAGAAAGAGTTTTTCAGTCTGGAGGTCCTGCATTTCACACTTCTGAGCCTCCGACCGGAGGGCAGGGGTATGAACAGTCCGCGCTGGGGGTGAGTGGGGTCTTTGAGGACGGCAGCAGCTTTCCTACACACCCTGCGGCAGTAAATGCTCTGCAGAGAAGGCAGTGGAGTCCTAGTGATCTTCTCCGCAGTCTTTACCACTCTCTGCAGGCACTTGCGGTCCATAGCAGTAGTGCTGCCATAGCAGATAGTGATACAACTGGTCAAGATGCTCAATGATGCAGCTGTAGTAGTTACAACACATCCCTGTGGGGTGCCAGTGTTTGTAACAATGCTGGCTGAAGTCCTATTGCCAATCCTGACAGTCTGGGGCCTGCCAGTCAGAAAGTCCAGGATCCAGTCACAGAGGGTGGGGTGCAGACCCAGTGTGGACAGTTTGTGGGTGAGTTTGTGGGGGACAACTGTGTTGAAGGCGGAGCTGTAGTCAATGAAGACTAACCTGATGTAGGAGTCTCTATTTTCCAGGTGAGAAAGGGAATAGTGGAGTGCAGCCACGAAAGCATCTGAGGTGGTTTTGTTGGGCCGGTAGGCATACTGCAAGGGGTCCAGGGTGTCCAGTATACTGCTCTGAATGTGGGCTAGTATCACTCTCTCAAAACACTTCATAATGATTGGGGTGAGCGACACCGGCCTGTAGTCGTTCAGGCAGGTGACCAGGCTCTTCTTGGGAAGAAGGACAATGGTTGTGGTCTTAAAGCAGGTGGGAACGAGACTGTGGCCGAGGGAGAGGTTGAAGATGGTAGTAAGAACATCAGCCAGCTCACTGGCACATGCCCTGAGAGCCCTCCCAGGGATGTTGTGTGTGTGTGCCTCCTCTCTGTGCTGTTGCTGGAGGTCTCAAAGCAGGTGTAGAAGGTGTTGAGGTCATCCAGCAGGCTGTCTGTGGAGCTGATGATGCTGGTGGTGGTCCTGTAGTCTGTGACGTATTGCAGGCCTTGCCACATCCATCCAGAGTCAGCAGTAGAATAGAAGCCATTCAGCTTCTCTCTGTACTGCCTCTTGGCCGCTGTGATGGCTTTCCTCAGTCTGTACTTTGCAGCTTTGTACTTCATCTCATTGCCTGATCTGAATGCATGAGAGCGAGCACGCAGCATGTGGCGTACCTGACTGTTTATCCAGGACTTCTGGTTGGGAAACCTCCTGACTTGTATGGTGGGCACAATGTTGTCAATACAGGTACTAATGTACCCAGTCACATACTCAGCACAGTCCTGTATGCTGACAGAAAATCTTCTGAGGTGGCTGCAGCTTTAAACACATCAGTCTGTCTGGGCAAAACAGTCCTGCAGGGTGCCTTCAGTCTCTGGGGTCCAGAGTTTAATTTGTTTGGTGACAGGGTTTGTTTGTTTCAGTCTTTGTTTGTAAGATGGATACAGGAACAAAAAAATGTGGTCCAAGCACCCGAAGTAAAGGCGGGGTGCAGCCCTGTATGAACCATGTATGTTACTGTAAATATGATCCAGAGTGTTCTTGCCCCAGGTGGAAATGTTCACAGGTTGGTAATATTTGGGAAGTACAGTCCAAGTACAGTAAAATGCACTGATTAAAGTCGCCTTCAATGTTAAAAACAGCATCAGGGTGTGCTGTCTCTAATGTGTTGATGACGTCGTGGAGTTTAACACAAATCCTGCCCTCATTCTTTTCAGTTTGTCTATAGGGTGACAAGGAAGAAAAGAAAGCCATGACATACTGCTCCTGCAATAGCAGCACACCTGCAGTTCACTTTAAATTGGCAATGCACAGCTTGCCACAGCCTGCCTGCAATTACCAGTTGGGCAGAGTAGTGATACTAAATAACCACTGGGTGGTGACATCTTTCCGCTTATTGAAATAAAAGGAGCTGGAGAGCAGGTGCAAATGTTTGATTTTAATTAGGGATGAGTTGAGTTACTTAAGCATGTTGCAATAGGTCTTAAAGCTGAAACGAATAGTTAGCTAAAGTATTTTTATTTGGCATCTAAAGTGTCTCATCTTCCTGTTATCCTCCTTTCTCACTGAGTACAGGAAGCACAAAAGAACAGCATGCCCCCAAACAAGGTAATAAAGCTCAGGAAGAAGCATTTCTATTGTGTTTTACATTAAAGGGCAACTTCGCTGTTGAAGTTCATTTTAGTCAACACAAGAAGTTCTACTCAGCCTGTGAAAACACTTGCACAGTGTCTTCTGTGGCTCTGATGGATCTGTTCGGTGTTTGGAAAAAATTACCCAGATGATGTCATCAGAGTAATTTTTTAACAGAAAGCCTGTGTTATAAATTGGAGGTGTTTGGAGGGAAAGAAGTGGGTATTTATGAGGCAGACACAGTTCGGTAAAAGGCACTATCAAGTTGCATTATGGGAAATACAACATTTTGGAGCTTGACTCAGATTATCTCATCCTCTGTGGCTTCAATTTTGACTGTTCTTTTTTTTTTTATCTGTCTTTTGTGAGCCCCCCAGACTTATGGAAATGCATTATTAATTTGCTTGAAGACATCTTTAAGCAGTTTCAATATTATACACTGATACATTGCACAAAATTGTCTCGAAGTACTAAACAACTTCGCTTGCTTAGACAGTAGAAAAAGAAAAGATAAACCGTGATGGCTGCCTCTTAATCTATTTGCATCTGTTTTAACATTCAAAACAATTATGTTGGTGCTGTTGTTAGAGGTGGAACAAATACTCAGTTTGTTTACTAAAGTAAAAGTAGCAGTACCACAGGGTAAAAATACTCTAAGTAAAAGTCTTTCATTCAAAATATTACCTAAAAAAAGTAAGAGCAGAAAATATACTTAAGGTACCAAAAGTAAAAGTACTCATTATGCAAAATGGCAAAGTTTACATTGATGTTTTTAATGTATTATTGTGCATATCACATTTAATTTTGCAGCTGGTAAAGGTAGAGCTAATTTGAACTACCTTATATAATTTGATTTACTGCTCGGTAGTTTGTGGAATTTACACAAAGGATCTTGTGTAAAATCTTGTGTAATACTGTATTTTGTTTTATTAACCTCTTTATGAAAAGTTACTAGTATCTAGAATTATCAAATAAATGTAGTGAGCACAAAGTACAATATATTTCTCAAAAAAGTATGAAGTAGCAACAAATGAAAATACTCAAGTACAGATACCTCAAATGTTTTATTTAGTTACAGTTCCACCTCTGGCTGTTGTCATATATGAGTTATAAATACTGAAATAAACAAGTCTTTGCAGTATAGGGAGTGGATGAGATATTAACAAATAAACATTTTTCCTGTCCACAGATGGAAAGGGCAGTGTGAGTTACATGTCAAAACTGTGCATGCTACCACCTTCCTCACCTGCACACTACTGGCATCACACTATAGCCAGAGAGCTGATAAGCAAGGCCACAGAGTGAGGTGTGTATATTGTCTGAGACTACAATATGTCAGAGACATTATGCTGTGTCACACTGAGCTTGGATCAGGGATGCATGAGCTTCTGGCCAAACAGGCTACTGGCTGGATCAGAAATCTCCCAGCATGCATGGTTGGTATGGCAACGGAGCTTTATCAATATGGAGGTGGCAGAGATCACATCTGAGAGGAGGCTGAGCAGAGACTGCCCCTCTGAGCAAAGAAACCTGAGATAGTCAGTCCTGGGTGCTTTGTGAATGTTGGCCCTGTGCTCCAGTGGGAACTAATGAATTAATGACTGGGTTCCTATGTTCCATCGATGAATCATTTAAGAACCGTCACAGGTTAATGAGCACACCCCACCTCTCTTGTGTTGGCCTCAAAAGGTGTATGCTCTAGATTTATAGTACCTAAAGTTGCCACTTGAAAAATGTAACTGTGAACTGAACAATCATGCCTACTCTGCAACACAGCAGCTTCATGGGGGAATACAGAGTGTATTACTCCCAGAGAAGAAAATATATACAGTAAGATGGTGGAAGTTGTTCAAACATCAGTGCCATAGCTACTTCTCTCAGCTGGTAGATACTGTACTTGTGTAAAAGCATCAAACTAGTAACACCTGGACCAACAGACTGCTCTTTTTAACAGGAAACCAGAAGCTCAAGACACAGCGCTGTGTTGTTAAACCACCCCAACAGGCCCTGCAGCACGTGGGAGAAGGGTGGGGTGATGTGTGCTGCTGCTACCACAGGAAACTTATTTGATTGTTAGTTAAACCGGCATTGTAGCCATCTTGGCCAGAAAAGGGTTTTCAAACCTCAGTGGGATTTACCTGGCAAGATAAAGGTTAAATAAAATAAATATACAAATGAGACATCAGTTTGACTTGGGGGACTGGAACACTGTTTTCAAACATGAAGTAATTCTTCAAACACTGGGGTGGAAAGAAGCTCTTATTTTATTTCATTTCATTCTATTCTTTTCCTTAATACCCCGACAGTGGGTTAATAGCTTTGAATTACAAAGGGGTTTTTTTCATATTAAGACAGTTGATCCCAGCTGCTGGTTGCCAGTCTATCACAGGGCTGACACATAGACACAGACAACCATTCATACCCTGGACAGCTTAGAGTTGCCAGTTAGCCTAACCTGCATGTTTCTGGACTACCAGAGGAAGCCAGGATACCCATAGGAAACCCATGCAGGAATGGGGAAAACATGCAAACCCCGGTGGGATGTAAACCCGGAACCGTCTTCCTGTGAGGCATTAGTGCTAACCACTGTGCCACTGTGCCAAACCAACCATAAAAATATAAAGAATAAGGGATTAGATTATAAATATAAAGAGATTAAAAGATATTATCTGAGTGAAAGTATGATCACAGGTTCTATCTGTCTATGCCTGTCTATCTTATCTATGCTGGTAAAATGCAGAGCTTTTCAGGGCAACTGAACAACTGCAACAGGCTGAGGTAGAGGGAAA